GGGGGGGGGGGGGAGACTTCGTGCTGTTTTTAAAGTGGCGATGCACCTCGGGATATCAAAGGGGCACCGGCGTCATGGGAGACGGGAGTGGAATTTCAACCAGAGCGCTACACGGGACATAGGGAGGCATGGAGTCAGAGGGTGTAGATAAAAGTGTGTGTGTGTGTGTGGTGGGGGGGGGGGCCTGAGAGTGGAACGGGAGCTTGTTAAAACTCTTTGGTCTTTAGCACGGATGTGTCAGCATGCATGCAGACCTACATATATTCTCTATTCTCTCTTGGAAGGGGCCTCTTACCACCACTGACTCACTCAGCCAAGTAATAAAAAACCAAACATTACAAATGGCTGCTGATGACTCAAAGGCGCAGCGGAAGAATAAAGTATGATGAAGAACACACCATGGGATTAGGGGGGGGAGACATATAAAGCACATTTATAGGAGAAATATACGTTTTGGCAGGAAAAAAAAGGGTTGCATGAGAAGAGGATGCTTAAACTTTGAATGAAGGGTCAATGTGATGTATCTAAGAGTCTGAGGTGAAGGGGGAGGCAGCAAACATGGGAGGTGTGAAGGTCCACTTACAGAGAAGATGCCAATAAGAATGCCCACACCACAAAGCACCGCATCACTAATGGTTTCTCCCTCTTTTCTGGGGTAGCGGATGGACTCGTCCGAACAGTAAAACCCGCGCCGGTATGGCTTTATGGTGCTAGTCTCAATGATCAGGAAAGGCAGGCTAGCTACAAGAGACACAAAGAGAGAAAGACAGGAAGAGGGAGAAGAAAGCAAAAAAAAAGAAGAACCAGGTCAGTGACAAAGACATAAACAGGAGAGAACGGGGGGACCACAGGGGGGGCCTTCCCGGCACCGGAGGATCACGGGACGGCAGAGGGGGCGGGGGGGGGGGGGGGGGGGTGGGGGGGGGGCCTCAGAGGGAGGGGGGGGGGGGGTGGCCATTTTTATCCAAAACAGACCCAAACGCCAGAGACACACAGCGCAGGCTTTTCCCATTTAGCTGAGCAAGCTCGCTCCTGAGCAGCCCGCCATGACGCCCGTCAGCGGCCCTCCCTGCTTCTGCTCCGATTGCGTCCGCGGCCGAGTGCTGGTCGTGGCGGTGGGGTGGAAGGGTGGGGTGGGGTGGGGGACTTACGGACACCGCGGGGAGTGTCAGGCCCACAGAAGTGAGCACAGAGGAGGGGACGGTGCTTCTCTTGTAAGGGTAGCTGAGGCTGGAGTCGCCGCAGTAAAAGCCCCTCTGGTACGGACGCACAGAGGCCCGGTGGAGCACCAGAGACGGCAGCATAGCTACACACACGAAAGCACGCACACAACGCACGCCTGCATTTGAGTTTGACTTGCAGACACATCCAAATAAAGACAACTGTACAGCATCAGAAGCACTCACCTGCGAGCTGCGGAGGAAAAAAACTGTTTAAACATACATTAGCACACAGAAAGCTTCACAGGTGTGTGTCTGCATGTGTGTGTGTGTGTGTGTGTGTGTAAGGCAGCTGTTTGCGCAGCAAACCCACTCCTGCTGCTACTGTTGACTGAGCGACCTGAGGTTTATCCATCAGGATCACTCCCTTCCAACAGAGCAAACAGCCTCTAACACCCGGGGGGGTCATTGTTAAAGACAAAAGAAAAGCCATTGTAAATCACTGTGTGTCAACATAGTGTCACTGATGAGTGCCTTAGCTCCAGCTACAATGGTTAAGCCTTTTTTTTTTTTAGAAGTGTCTACTAGAGAAAGAGAAATTCATTATAAGAAATGCACGCAACAACAGCTTGAGCTTTTACAATAAAAATTTAGATTCTAAAGCAACATATCAATGGCAAAAGTACAAGATGAAGCAGTGCTAAAATATAACATGCAGTTTTTTTTCCAGTAATCCACTTTTAAAAACCCCATCAGATGCTGTGCGCTCCTGTTCAGCAGAAATTAGAGGAAATAATAAGTAATACAAATGCAGGTGTGCAAACTCTGGCCCAGACTTTCAGAGTTTTCCTATAAACTCGCAAATTAATGAAAACAAAAACTAAGACCACCAGGTTGGGGAAGATTTTCTGCATGACAGCATATTTGGTGTGTGCACACACGACCCGAAGCTGCTCGGAAACAGAGGTCAGACTGAACAGAAAGTGCTCCCACACGTGGTTCGTGCGGTTAGCTCAGAGATCAGAGGCCTTTTTTTTGTTTTACATGTGGGTTAAAGTAAAAAAAAAAAAAGCCTATGAATGTTTCTAATGCGGCCGAGGACTACGGCCGTCGTCTGGCCTGAAGATGGGAGTCTGAATATCGTGTTACTGTCTGTCAAACGCAGCGCTCAGCAGTAACCACACATGAACTGTCTGAGGACCTGCACACACTTTCCTCCTGCAGGCTGGTGAGACATGCCCTCTCAGCACTGATCCAAGAGGAAAAAAACACGGTTTCTGGTTTAACTGCTCAGTCAGTGGATATTTAGACAGCGTCTACAGGTGTTGGTTAAAAAAAACACAAAAACTGATATACTCAGCCAAATAAGATTAAACACTTAATAAATAGTTATTTATTTATAGTATTCTGTCTATAAATCTAGAGTGAAAACACAAAACCACTTTCTCTTTGTGTTCTTCGGCCGGTTTTTGCAGAGTTGCAATGGGATTAACACCTTATATTTACAGGGAGGGGTTAAAGCTGAAGTATTAAGCTTTTTATTAGCCCTTATGACTGACAGTCGCACACACAGAGTGCTCTGGTGTTTGATTGGGCAAAGCTGAAACCTCTGTTTTGTTATCAGCTGGCGCTGAGATGAATAGCTCTGTTGGTTAGGAAGTGAGCTCTGCTGGTGTTCTTCCCCGATCCACTCAGATGTGGCGCGATTTCCAGCTCACAGTTCCAATTTTGACTCCAAAGCAGCAAAGCTGGGTCCACACTGCTTGTTTTGTCCATTCTGAGCTGCTTCACGCATTTTTTTCCTAACTAATCAAAAGACTTTCGGACACAAAACAGTTTTTTTTCTAATGTAATTTCTAATTCTTGTGCACAGTGAAGCAACAGACCAGTTTGCAGACTTTTAAGCAACTTTCAAGACTCGTCATTCACAAAAAAGCTTGACAAAAAGCCAAGTGAGTTGTATAAAAGGATGAAAGTATTTCGTTTTTTGTTTTGTTTTGATGTCTAAGAGTGAATGAAAAAGCCTCTGTCTTTGCTGTCTCCCTGCAGCGGTCAGCAGAGGGCAGAGGACAGAGTGGTCAGTGAGCCAGACACCTGCACAAACAGCGTGCAGCACCAGGCTGCAGCCGGCTGCTGGCGGGCCCGCACAGGGCCGGGCCCGGCCTCGCTGCTGAGCGGGGGCCATGGCGTCCACACAAAAGCCCGGGCTAGCCGGGGGGCGAGCCTAAGAATTACTGCAGAAAGGCGGGGCAGGGCGGCCAACCCGACTTAAGACGGGTTGATCCCAGCGCGCATATGTCGCTCTGCTCATGGAAGACTTCCAGCTTAATGGCTGTTTGGTTACAGCCCCGCACCCTAAACAGAGTCAGAGCCCTCATGTGTTCAAGCACACAATAAACCGCGATGACCTTTAGCCAAAAACATAAACTGGACTGAACTTTTTCCCCATCCTGATCTGAATTGTCTTTTCACTTTTCCCTCCATGTGGAAAATAAAGCTAAACGTTCACAGATAAAACACATGCACAAGCTAACTAGCTGGTGCTTAAGGGTTAAACCAATCGAAGGAGAGCATGGGAAAACACTGGGGCTGCCCAGCTGAGAAGCTCAAGTGAGATCAAGCCGCTGACCATCTCATTATCTATTGATAATTCATGAAAGCCTCTCTGTGTGCACGCTGCCCAGCCTTGAGATGCCAGGCTGTTTGGCCCTTTGTCGAACGGCCTGGTATGTGGGAATTCTCCCCATACCACAGTCCGTCCACGGAACTCTAAGCGGGGAATAAAACAGGCTCTGGACTAAACTATACGGCCGCGTCCGAGCCTCGACTGCAAACGGCAGCGAGAGGAAATATGACCTCTTTTATGCCCACGGAATAAAGAGCGAGTGACCTCCAGAGGGTCCTGCTGACCCGGAGAAAAGGGAGAACACAGAGAGGGGGGTGTGCCAGAGGAGGGAGAGATGAAGACAGAGCGGGAAGAGAGAAAAAGAAGAGGGCTGGTCTGTTGGCAGAGGCGGTGGCGCATCACTGAATTAAAAGACAACTAGTTTACAACCTCCGCGGCGGGGTCAGTAACTCCCAGGGACGCCTTGGATTTCCAACTTCTGACAAAAAAAAGGGGAAAGTCCTATCTCAGTTCCACTAAGAAAAGAGAGAACCACTCCTTTCAAACAATTTCATTTGTTCAAACGTATTGCTTTGCCAAAGAACTTGTGTGTTTTGTGCCGTTAATGACCCTTATGAGCCGTCCAGCCACCGAGCTGCTTTTGAAACAGCGCGAGCAGGCGCCTGAGATTAATTGGAGCCTTAAAAAAAAAACTTTCTCAATGGACGGATCGAGGAACAGGGAGCGCACATACCCCAAAGTGGGTGGCTTTGCAGGTTTGGGAACACTTCTATTTGTCTTATCAGATGCTGCTATGCATTTCTCTCTCTCTCCCGGTCCAGGAGGAGCACGGCAGACCACTAAAGACCGCTCACCACGGGTCACGGAGGCTTTCCATTGGCTGCTCCACTCTGTGTTTATGTTGCAAAGGTCATGGCAAGGCCTGCGTGCGCACCGGAGTGTGCGTGCGTGAGTCTGTGAGAGAGTGTGGTTTCTGAACTCTTTTTCCATCTGTAAATCCACTCACGTGGTCATGCTCCACCACCGGGTCATGTGTGTGTGTATGTGTGTGTGTGTGAATTTGTGCACTTTACATTTATATACGTTTTTTCCCAGCCCCTGTGTGCGAGTTTGTGCACTCATTCATGGGAGAGAGATTATCCAGCTGGCTTCCATTTGATTGGATTTGAGGTTAAATTTGGAAAAGTAAGTTAACAGCTTTATTAGAAGTACTAGCAGAGCTAAATCTCACACACGCAAACACACACACACACACATACACATATACGTCAACTATATATAAATGTGCGCTGAAAAATTCTTAGTACTTTCCTCAGCCCTGTGAGTTAAGGATTAGAAGTATTGTATTACCCAGAGCTGCCCGTCTCACTTTAAAAGAACAGGAAACAATGGCTATTCTTGTGGCAGTTAACTCTCTGTGTCCCTTAAAAGGTTAATTCCCCTTGACATGGACTCATTTCCAAGCTGAACAACACCTGCGTGTCTGACCAGACAAGGCTGGCAAAGTTCTCCTCCGGCTCTCAGCCCTCTCCCGTTCCTCTGGGTCTCCATTGACATTCTAATGGGCTTTCACGGCCCTTCAAGGGCAGAATTAGAATGATATCGTGATTATTGTGAGCCAGCCCGAGTGTCAGCAGTGAGCGAGAGGTGAATGGGAGGCGGAGCGGGGTAGAGGAAGAGGCGTTGGGGTCTACACTAATGGAGGATTTCCTTCTCTCTGTCTTTGGAGCGCACCATGTGACCCGTCCTGAGAAGGAGTGGGAGGACTCGGAGGAGGGTTACAGAGGGCAGAGGCTGAAGTGGGCTTCACTCCACGGACAGAGCCTGTATATCAATCAAAGTGGCTCCTCCTTTTTCCCCCCAGCTTTTTTCTCACAGCTTTTTGAACAGAGCTGACCGCTTACACAGAAACAGTGTGTGTGTATTGACATTTGTAAAGTCAATTTATAACTCTTCAATCACACGATTGCTAGTTCAGCACTTGCTTTAAAAAAATCCCTCTTTGTTAATTAATAAAAAGCTATTCTCCCCTCTGAAATGTCAAACAAAGCTTTGGTCTGAGTTGCAAAGTTTCACTTGGCCTTGGCCTTGTATTTGTGCCCTGTTGTTGTGAGAACGCCTTTGGAGGAGCAAGCTGACCTGTGCACATCTGCATCTGGGCCTGCTGTTACAAGCAGATATCGCCATGTGGTTTTTGGACATGTTTGACTGTGTTTAGAAAGAAGAGGAGGAGTACACTTGTTAGTTTTGTTGTATTGTCGTTTCTAAGACTAGTAGCTGCAGTACGAGGGTGTGTTAGCCTTCTGTATCCAAATAGATGTAAAAGAGGGAGTGTATTTGATCCAAAAAAACAACAAAAATAGAGAACGAGCTGTTCGGTGCCAAGTCCACTTGCTGGTGAATATTTTTCTGACCAACAAATACAGAATTAGTGGAAATGATCTGCACGTCAAAAGTGTCTGGGAAGGTTTCAGGCAGAATATTACACACACGGTTCCCTTGTCTCGTAATTTGATCC